ACTACTGTATTCAAGGAAACCTCCAGAAAGGGTGCAGAATTCTGAGCTAGCAGCTCATATTGTAGAAAGAAAACCTTGAAATGTCTGGCGACGAGAAATGTGCACATCTGCCACGACTTCTCCTGATGATGATCTTTTGTTAGGATGCTCATCACGGGAACTCAAATGCAGATGCGAAAATTGTGTTCCAGAGTTTTCAATTCTTGTGCTTATCTTTTGAAAATCAAATTGTTCAAGTGATGCATATGGAAGGGGGAAAAAATCAGGCTACTATAGAAGAATGCAAATAAACTTTTTTCTCTTTGCATCTTGCCCGTTGAAGAATGTTCTCTGGCCATGCAGTTTTGCGTGTATGATGACTTGACAGAAATTTGCTGCAGCTCACTCAAGATTTATGTGAAGAGGAAGCACTGTCTAACTATAATTAACAACTGAAATGCAAAGATTAATATAATTTACTTTGTTATGGTTTGATTTTATGGGGTGTTTTTCTATGCACAGGCTAGAATTAGCAGTCCTAATTATATGATATAACCTTTTCTACCTCCAACAGTTGGTTTTTTTCCCATTTGACAGCTGTAGCACACAAGATGATGGGAAATACTTCTGGCAAGAATGTTGAAATTAGGAATTCAGAAAAATTAAATTTTGTGACTGACTCTTCTAAATAATATTTGCATATTCTGAATTGTACATAGGGTGCTCAGTAACAACATGCCTAAGTGGGACAGACCAAAACTTTTCTGTCTCCGGGTTATGGGGTCCATTGTGACTGCAGGTGGCTCGGTGGTGTTTGAGAATGGCAGAAAAAGGAGCTGTCTCAGGTCTGTGCAGCGTGGGGCAGCGCTGGCAGCACCTGAGAACACCCTTGACAAAGGGCTTGCTCCAAACCTGGACTACCCAGCAGCAAAAACAATAACAGAGCTCCTGATGCCAGGCCATCCGTGCCTTGGTCCCTCCTTTTGTGCTCACAACCATCTGGCAGGAGGCTGCCTGCTGGTATGCTCTGGCTTTGGAAATAGCATCCCTCCTCCAGAAGAGGATGATTTTAGCACTTCTGGGAAGCATAAAGCTGACTGTCTCATAAACTGTGCCCCAAATTTGACAGGTTACCTACTGAGCTCTGTGCCAAATAACTGGATGGCAGATATTGGATCTATGTGAAAATTACTGATATTTTCCTGTTTCCTGCGCTCTCCCCTCACTGTGATTAATAATTGCAGTGAGGGAAAGGGCACAGTCACACAAGAACAGCTCAGGCAACCAAACACACTGGGTTTATTCCTTTGATTTCTTAAGCTCAGACTCGCACGTTATCAAAAGCTTTTTGCCAGATCTAAATTTAATGTCATGACATTTTAAGGTTATATCATTGAGCTCCAGAGACAGCTCTCCTAGCTTCCTGCTCAGCCTCCCTTTTAGGCTGTGATAAATGCTGATTACAGTCTCTTGTGTCTTGGGGGTTCATTCCTTCCTCATTATATCCAGAGAAGCCATCTGGATTTCAGCTCCCCTCGAGTAATCAATATGTCAGCCAGGGTCAGTGCTGTGCTGGGCAAAAGGGCATCAAGGTTTATGTTTGTATAAAGAGTTGCAAGACCTCCCTCTAATTTATTGTGCCTTTATGGCATTTGGTATCACCTAAATAGAGAATGAATATAATAAATATGAGAAGTAAATTTGAGATAATTCATTATAAGGTGTGTTATAAAACTTACTTCTAGCAAAACTAACAAAGTTGGAAAGGAACAAGTATTATTTCAGCAAATGTGTTAATGGACTTTGTCTGGCTCCAACAGCAAACTTTTATAACAATAATGAAGTGAAGCTGAAAAAGTCTGTGACTGAAATATCACATGTACTAAATTTAAAGCTTGAATTCTCTTGTCAAGCAGGAAACCCAGCAGAAGGATTTAATTTGCTTTTAAAAAGCTTTTTCTGACAAGTGCATTTTTAAATTAAAGTCCTGAAACTGTTAAAATGCAGGGTTTTTTCTTTTGATGGAGACAAATACGACATCTTCATTCTATGATGTGTCTCATCTCTCTTAGGACATGACATTCAATTAAAGGCAGTATTAGAAAAAAATGGTTTTCTGTAAAAGAAGCATACTAAAGGCATTCTTTGCTCTGCAAAACTGTGGTTTTCTGTACATTCTTCAAGCCATCAAATAGGTGATTGGTAGGACAGTCATTTTTAGTGTAATCAAAGAATGATTTATAATTTACTTGCAATCCAAATAAGACTGTTAAGTTATAGACAGATGCTGCTGTTTGTGAGCTCTGTGTGTTTGTCACATATATTTGTGACATGTGTACCTGCATTTTTAACAATAGGTTATTATTGACATTAAACATTGAAACTGTAGAAATCAACAAAATGTTAGTGTCAAGTAAATTTCTGACTTAATGGGGTTTTCAGGTTTTTATGATTTCCCATTTTGCTCTGACAAATATATGTGGGGTTTTTTTTAAATTTAATAATCTCTTTTTCCACCACAATTTTACACTTGCACATTTCTGTGATTACATTGCTGGGTTGAGCAAAACTATCACCAAATTCAAGAAGGAAGAAGACAAAACTGTCATCCCAGAAATAGCACTGGACCACATGGTCACTCAAGGACATATTTCAGTGCTGCACTCCTGTCCTGCTGTGTCTTTACTGTGAAATGATGCAGCAATTTTATTGTTTACCCCCTATAAAAAATAATCAATATGCCCTGAGGGACAATTAAACGTTGTAGCAAAGAGGTAGCATGATTAAATCTAGTCTTATTCCAATTTTTTTCTTCTATTTAGTGGTTGAAACTACAAAGTAAATATTAATGCAGTGACTTAGAGTAACTGGTGTCTAACTGTTCACTTGTATTTTTTCATGGTCTTTTAGGAATCTATAACAATAAACATTTACTTAAAAGCTTAGCCATATGTATATTTTTACACAGATTGTAAATAAATTCAAAGACACAATGAAAAATATTCAGTACCAAATAGTGAAGGATGGGAACCCTTCACTGTGAAAAGCCTGTTATTAAAAGCTCCAAAGAATTGTTCCACAGGCTTAATAATTTGCTTCAACAAAGTTTGGAAAAGTGACAAAACTTTTTCTATAACCACAAAAAAATTTAAAAAAATAAAAATAAAAATGTTGCAGACATTTCTGTTCCTTAGAGATTGTGAAAAGTCTCTGATGGTGGTGTTGGACAGATTAAGCAAGCAGTAAACATTAAAATGGTGTCTGGTGATTTCAGCTGAGTCAATCTAGTTTTCATTCAAGATTCACCTTCTAGGTAGCCTTGGCTATTTAAAGATTGCAAAGTGTGCTGGGGGATAATCAAGGTGAAGCCCAGATGTAGCTGATGGATTTTCTTTAAGACCCTAAGCCCCCCCATGGAGGTTCAAGAACATCTCTGGAGCTCCTGGATCTCTGCTTATATTTTCCAATGAATGACAGCTTTACAGAAGTTTCAAAATTGGGTTCTGCATGCAGGAAATTGATCCTGTTTGACCTGAAGGCTAATTAATATCATAACCCATGGGTTCCATGCATTTTGAACTTCTGTAGCACGACTGCAAAATTATTTACCCTCTTACTCTTAAAACTGATTTAATGTTTCATATTCCATTTGACTTCTAATATTCCAAAAATACCAGCCAATTACTGTATATTTTTACAAAACCATGTGAACTGTATTGAAAAGTTGTAATGTATTACAACTTTTATTTCTATTAGTTTATTGCAGTGAAATATTTGAAGATTATTGACTTCTTTTCTCCTGTTTTATTAATTGGGGGGGAGGGGACTGGAAAAGTGTCCTGATGAGTTGTAGTCATTATCAGGAAAACTTTGTATCTATTTACATGTACTTTGGCAACTACAGTTGTTTTGGGATGAGAGGATGAGAATGAAGATGATTTTCTGCTTTGCATAAATACTCTGCAAGAAACTCTGACCAAAAAAAAAAAAAAAAAGCAAGAATAACTTTTAATAATTTTGTGCATGACATATTTGAAGAACTATCCCTTCATATTTATATATATATATGAAACATACTGTATGTCACTCATCAGCATTACTGTGTTTCTGCTATGCTATTCAATTTTTCCAAGACCAAAGCCTTCAATTAATATGTACGATTGGTTCTTAAGGCCTTTCATCTGAAAATGATTTTGTACATTTAAGAAGAAAATCCAATAAGTAATTCTCTCTCTATTTTCAAATCCAGTGTCAGATCATCTTCCACAAACCACATCTGTCATTATAAGGATTAGACACAGTCATATTCAAATTAATAGCATGGTTGAGAATAGGTAGAGAATAGAGAGTATCAACCATGGTTTCTACTCTGATGGATATTTTTTTATGCTTGATGAACATCGTTCTCAAAGCAGGAGATTATTAAATTCTAATAACTTTTCTCCAAGTTGTGTTTAACAACTCACATAGTCCAATATGTCCAAATAAAAAATACTGGTAGTAGAATCTGAAAAACACTTGGATTCTAAATCTGATTTTCAATGAGAATTACAGCTTTTGCTCTCACATTTGCCTTTAGACTTGTATGTAAAATCATGGGGTTATAAATCACTTCACTTCTTTGGGTCTGATCTAAAGATGATCAGTGTCAAAGGGTTACTGCAATGGCACCGTGGTCAAAGTTAGCTGAAGGGATAAAGCAGAAATCATCTGTATTCTGCTTGTTCCTCATCATAAGCAGCTTTTCATATTTATTCATGTGAGCCCCAAGAGCCTCACGGACTCCTGTGTGTTGGAGAAATCCAGGGTTAGCTGGGAGCTTAACTCAGGTCCTTCTCCTTCCTCTCTCTGAGACATGAGAGAGCGAAGGTGTGAAGGCTCTTTCTTTGACCTAACCACAAGGCAGACAAACCAACTGTGTTCTGACCTTCAGCTCCAAAGGCCTCTGAAAGACTCTGCCAGATCTGCTTCTGTCTAACCCTAGAGGGAAAAAAGCAGAAACAATTGCTTTTTGGGGTTTGTGAGTTCTGTTTCTCTAATTTTCAGCAGAGCTTAATAAATATGAGACTAAACAAATATGAGGGGTTGACATGGATCAATTCTTACCTACATACAGAAAAACACAACAGTTTAATGTGAAACTTGGAATCACTAAAATTTCACTCTGTAGCCAGCTGATTCTACAGTACCTCATATTTTATCACAGAATGGTGTATCAGACAGAAATCTTAAGAAATATTGCTTTATGGTCTGCTAAGATAAATCAATGTAGGTGACAATGCAAATGGTAGTGCAAGTGGTTATTTAAAATCTCATTTTTCCTACTTAGCTGTAATTTTGATAAGGAATACATTGAAAATGTTTTCTGTTAAAAGCAGTGATAAAAGTTCTTGTCATTTTGGAAACCATAAAAGAATCATAACAGAGCTGAGAAAACAAACTTTGACATCTAGAATTTTTTGACAGTTAGGCAAACGATGGTGGTGGAATGTTACAGATATAATAAAATAATACAGAAAGTCAGAGTGGTGATTTATCAGCTCTATTTTAACTTTTAACTTTGCATGTGGCACAGAAATCAGCACGAAGCTGCCTAAATGGATGTTTTGACAAGTGAAGTTGTTACATAACATCATTAGTTGACTTTAACTTTGGACCTCATGATCAATCTTCATCAGTCTTTTTGAGAGCAATTCTATTTCCTAGAGAAGGAAAATATCAAATCTCTGATCACTGATTTCCTTTACACTGGGTTGTTTTTCTTCCAGGCTGAAATAACTCTCAGGACCCTTCCAAGCACCTTGCATGTGTCTGTATTCCAAGTGAGTCACAAAATTAATTTGTCTGCAATTTCTTCCAAACCCTTATGAATCCACTGCAGGAGCTTTCTGTCATACACTGAGTACCAGCCTTGCTTTATCTTTTTATAGCAACAGGACAAAATCCTTTAAAGGCATTCCTTATCTTTCAGTGTCAGATGGTGGGATGTGCTAAGATTTACATATTTCATTAAAGAGAATTTCTCTGTGGTATAAATGGCTTGTGCAAACACATTACAAGATCATTAAAAGGAGCCCTCTGCACCAGTCAAGGTTCATTCAGAAGAGCACAGGCAAAAATGGGACTGATACTTTCCTTCAGTGGGGTGCATCTGCAGATGGAAACTGCAAAGAAGCCATTTGAAACTCCACTTATTTGTTAATTCGCAGTGTGCTCCCACCGAGCACATTGCAAATGTGCTAAAAAAACAAGCTAAACCTGAATTCACAGTAATCAGGACTAGTTTTACCCAGTGCTTTGCTCCTGTCAGGCTTGTCCTCAGTGTAAAACCACTCTGTCTCCCTTTTGTGATGTCAAATGCCACAGAGCACCTGGAAAGAAGCCCAAAGTGTAGCTTTAGAAGTGCAGTTATTAAATGGCCACACAGGAGGGTTTTGGGGTGCTTGGGGAGGTCCTTTCACTTCTTGAGCTCTATTTGGGCAACTTAAAATTGGGGCAATTATTCATTAGCTGTGCTAAGTTCATCTCCACCCACATTGCTCAGAACCTGCCTGAAGACGGAAAGAGAGAGACATTTCTGACCTGACCACAGTGAGACCCCCCCTGGGGGTATCCACAGCCAAGGCAAACTGGTTTAGGATCTCTTCTCAGGAAATTCAAATTCACTTCTTCTAGCCAGCATGGGGAAACCCTTCATTGTTACTTCACTTGCCAGTGTCCTTTCTTGATGCTGCCTCTTTCAAAGCAGCAACAAAAATCACTCCTCCTGTTGCTGATCTGCTCATTTGGGATAAGATTATTATTAGGATGCATCCTCAGTTTCTCCCTATGGTGGACTCCGAATTTTATCTTAGTCAGGAATGAATTTGCTGTTGTTTTTTCCTGGACAGCTCCAGCTTAATTTAATCTCCTCAACTCCATACACACCCTATAATTGTGTTTAGGAAGTAAAACTCTTTCAGCAGGAACCATTGCTGCTCTTTTTCCACAGAAGATATATTTGGATGTATGTGTCTATGTGAGCAACACATCTTCATCATCCAGGTGCTGACAGCAATTGTTCTCATCCTTATGTCCATTTTCTGTAAAATATGAATATTTTGGTCATCCATTTTTTATCCTGGATCACAAAATCTTGTAGACCTTGATGTTGCTATTAAATGTGTATTGTCCCAGCATGCAACTACTACAGTTATCCAAACCCAGTGACAAACATGTATCCTGTCAGACTGGAGACCAATTTCTTTTTCATGACCATAAAGTACATTCCTGTCCTCTGCTGATACTTCCCTGATGTAGGAGGAAGGCTGCAGGACACTCCCTGGAACAGCAGCTGAGAATAAACAAATTGCACAAAGCAGGTGTGAAGCACAAAGACCTTTATGAGAAGAGGCAGGCTGGGAGAACCAGATGTAAGATTTCAGCAACTATTTCACAGGTTCTCTGCCTGTTGCTGTTTTAATCTGTTACTACTTAGAAGCTGGTTTTGTTGATGGGATTTTTTTTTTTTTAATGGTGTTTTCTTATTTTCTCACTTATTTCACTTAGAAGAAGCTGTGAAAATCGTGTATTTCTGTAATAGTGCACACACAGGCACAACACATGACTAATTTGATGGAAGAAATTTCAGGCAGGCATATTCGTGGAGGAGCTTATGAATCAATCCCTCATGGAATATTCTGTAGTTTCTCAAAATAGAAATGTATCATGGAGAGACCTGATGCAGTCTTAAATACAGTATAGAAAATGCCACACTGCTGTAATTCAGTAAGTCATGTTACCTATAGCATAATTATCATTTCAATATTAATGAGGAGTTTTTATAATGTCATGAGGAAATACTTTCATTTCATCTGGTTCCATTTGTTAAATGCCATTAAATGGAGCAACACCAGGTACATTTAATAAAATGGTTATAATGGAATAGATTGGATTTTTGTATCACTTCTCTTTTTCCTAATTACATCTGTGAATACAGACATATGTTATCAGAAATAATAATGAATGCAGCAGAATATGTATTTTACACATCTATAAGCTATTGGAGCCATGTAGATAAATGTGGACTCTGCATTACAGTAGTATAAAGGTGACAATTTCAGACAGAGAATGCTTGGCTAGCAGACTTTTACAGCTCAGATAATGGCTCTTTATAGGCAAAAATTGCTGTAAATTGTCTGGACCATGAAATATCAATTGGAGAAGAACTGCAGCCAAAAAGAACTTCATAAGGTACAGCTAATGTGGCTCAAATGATATAACCAAGCCCTTTCTTCCAAAGTTAATGAGGTTTGCAGTAAACTACAGCTTAGATTGCTGATGAAAATGAAGAGGATGCTGAGCAATTTTTGTTTCCCAGTGCTCTGTAAAATACCAGCTTCATCAAAGGAACTGAGCACATAAAGACACGAGGTTAAGCAGGGACGTAAGGAGACTGGAAATGTGGGGCTTTGCTATTAAATACAAAAATTATAATTTTTGTCTTAATATTTAAGGAAAGTATCTGTATTTCTTTAGGTCAGTGTGGGAACACTGACATTTATAACAATGTTTTTACTTGATTAGAACAATGTTTTTACCTGAGGTTCAGAGGTGTAAGATCAGCATTTTTGTCTAAAGCTTAGGAGACATTAAAGTTGTTCTTTTTACCTCCTTAACTTAAGCAAGCAAACCCACCAAAGAATCCCTGCAAGTTTCGGGAATGCCCTGTGGGAACAAAACCAAAATTTTTCATTTTGATTTTGTTTAGTTTAGGAAGGGGGTGCGGGGAGGGGGATATGTCACAACTGATCACTTGGGCTGTGATTATTTGTAATAAATTCTCACCAGGCTGAACAAAACCACCAGGCCATGGGTCAGGAGCTCTTATTCTTTACATAGTGTAGTCATTCAGCTGCAGCAGCAGCAGCAGCCCACTATTGTGGCTGAGGAGCCCCTAAATTTATACCATAGACTTCCACAAGTGGTGGTTAACAAGCCTTTAATTTTGTACTGTACACTTCCATAAACTCTCAGCTCCTCGCAGGAAACTTCCCAAAGGTTTATTTTGGTTCTCAGCCTGGCTAGGTTCCATTCCCTGAAGGCTGTGATAAGCAGATATAAACACATGCAGAAATTGCTGTATGATTCCAGTGTTCACCTTTTGTCTGCAGGATCAGTTTGCTTTCAGAGTCTTGACAAGATTATAAAATTACACATAGAAAAGAGCGTGAAATAGTTCTGCTTTGGTTTTTTACATCATCATTTGAGCAGTCTTGCATGAGCATCGTCTGCCTTGCCAGTAGAAAGGCTTTTCCATTAATAGTTACAATATGAGGGGGATTTTTGAAGCTGTGTTGCCAAAAGCAAATGGTTTGAATTTGAATGTGGCTTTGAGTTCAACATTTTTCCCTTCCTCTGGGCATTAATTTCTGCTTATATCCCCCAGGATCTACCATTTATTAGAGCTCTTTTCACAGGAATTCACTTCATCTGACTCTAAGCTTTAGGTGGATCCCCTGTCTGGTCAGTTCATTAACATTAAAGTTTCTGCAGTTGGAAATACAGGGGCAAGAAGGGCTTAAGTCAGGCTGACTAAACCTAGTGATATCCAGCTCCAACAGGGAATAAAGGAGGCATCAGGAAGCTCCTGGGAAGCTTTTCCTAGAGGAAGGGCAGAAAAATCTGTGTGATGAGCACAGCACCGAGCCACTTCCATTTGCATTTCCCAGGTCCCCCAAGAGAGTGCTGTCCCCCACTTTATGCACGAGCATCTTTCCCTTCTTCAGCCAAGGGTCAGGAGGGAACTGAAGAGCACAAGGACACAGGGAACTGCTGCCCTCTTCCAGTCCTTTAAGCAGAGGGCGGGGAAACCGATGGTTGCCGTGGAAAAACGCGTTCTTCCCGCAGCAAGGCAGGTGCTGCTCCTTGGGAACACAGAGCTGACAGCGTGCAGCAACAAGTGAATAACCTGCTCCACCCAGCGTCTGCAGGTTGAGATGCAGCACTGGGGGAGACAGGAAAAGGTTTTGCTAGAATCCCTGGCTCTGGCATTCCCTATCCCTACTCAGAGGGCAGGGGAACAGACTACCTCGAGGTACAGAAGGAAAATTACTGGAGACATTTGGCTGCAGCACCAGATCGTGTCCTGTGGAGGAAGATGGATGAGATGTTGACATGATGGGAATATGATAACCACACACACACACTCTTACCTAAAACACATAAACACCAGTCCAGTTTGGCCAACTTCCAATTTTTCCTTCAAAAGGTTTCCCCACTCTCACGATGGGACACAAAATGTTTCTCATGACATTTGGGAATGCTGTTATTGCTGACACTCACATACACAAAAAGGTAGAGAAGATGTTTGAAAAATACTTGTTTAAAGATTTGCTGGTTAAGACTTCTTTTTAAAATACTAAAAGAGTAAAAGCTCTATCAAAGTATTTCCTTCTAATTTAAGGGAACTTCCCCAGCAGAAAACAGCTCTGTACAGACAGTGCAATATGTTCTCCATCCACACACAGGAAAGGATTTCCACCCACTCCCCCTAACAGCTTTCACTCCCCAAGAGGCAAGAACTGTGCTTCAGAAAGGTTTTCATGAGCTCTGGTAAATGTAATTTCAGCAAACACTTTTATTACCTAAGGGTAAATATCCTTCTGTAAAGAAAACTATCATTCCTGTTCCACTACAGTCTTGTAGGCCAAACTTATATTTATTTCCCATGCAGTAACACTTTGTGTGGATACAGCCTAATTGGTTTTGGTCTATTTGGTCTATTAGAGGCTGTGGGGGAAAATACAATATCCTATAGGCAAAGTGAGTGTTAATTCTGTATTTTTGCACCTCAGATTCAAGGTTTTTTTGGAGTAGCAGAAGGGAAGAAGAAAAAAATGCCCAGACAAAGAGAAGCACCCCACATGAGCTCTTAACACTCAGCCCACAAGCACAGGTACAATAGGAACTCCAGCAAACTCACACCTGTACTAAATATTAAAAAATCAATGTAATTTTTATCAAATAGCCCCATTAATTGGAAAAAAATTACACTACTTAGTTTTAAGCAAAACCTTTATTTTAGCTCATAGGCTTGTTTGTATTAAAAACAGTTACTTCAAAATCAAATTCACATAAAATTCAGCATGTAAATGAACTGAAGTTGTCATTGGTCAGGATTAGGTTCTGAAAGACAAGTGCTCTGAATGACATCTGAACAACAGCAGATTTTAAAAAACAGCTGCACACCAGGGCCCTTTAATGATTTCTCCATTTCCCATAAATTCACTCAGTGAGGATTGAAAACAGCAATATCCCAGTTTAATCTGCTGCTTCACGCGAGTGAATTCTCTCGAGTCTTGTTAGAGGCACTGCTATTTTCTGCCAGCAATCAAAGTACTTGTCTTAAAATAATTTCCTTACAACACCAACAATCAAGCTACATTATATACACTTCAATTGTACAATTATCTTTAAAAAATGCCCGTGTACAAAATAGGTTATTTTATTTTAAAAAAAAAAAATCACATGCTAGATTTCAATTACATCAACATTTTAAAATAACTGAAAAAAATGATAAATAACATTCCAATTTATTAGGAACACTCCTGCAAGCAAGTGCAGAAGTATCTGCACTATATTTAATATTCTAATAAGCTGTTTAGGGCAACTTGTGCTATAAACCCCATGTACAAAGTGTGTGAAAAGCTCTTACTTGTGACAACAGAATAAAAGCTAATTAATTAAGCAAGAGTATTTCAGTAAAATTATTCTACTGATGAAGTAAATACCACAAGGGCATCTCATTTACAGCCAGTTAGACAAAGAACACAGCTAGTGACCAGAAGACATACATTAGTTCAAAAGTCAAATATATACAAAAATATATTAGAAAGTGGTTGAGTTTAACCACAGGCTCATGTAAAAAATGTTGTTTTAAATAGCAATAGCAAAAAAATAGCTATTTCTCTATCTGCAACAGTACAAAAGGCAACACCTACATATGAGGTAGCAATGCCAAATTAAAAACAAAAAGAAACCAAAAAAACAACTTTGGATTGAGGAGCATTTCCTATATTTTCATAAGCATATCTGTCAATACAAATATTTAAATGAACACTTCAATTGTTTCAAGAATTAACTACATTAATTTACAAAACCCTTTATTCAATTATTTTTTTTTAAATTACTGGAAATTTGTTTCGTTACTGATTTCTCCTGTTTCTAAAAAAGCTGTTGCATTTTTCAAATCCAAACACTGTACAGCAAAAAGTTGGAGGCTTTATTATACACACTTGGTAAACACTATGGTACATTAAGACTTAATTTACAAAGATCAGAAGAAGCCAGCTGTGGTCATTTTATCCTTTTGTGCCCAACAGGCAGACACGGCACAATTTTTACCCCATGCTCAGTGCTAAAGGCAAGCTGAAGGTTCACTACTCCCTGCCACAGCCACAGCAAGTGTTTGAAGTGTTTCCCTCCAGGAGTGTGAGCCACAGCACGGCTTCCATCTCTAGGGCCGGGGCACTGCCAGGCAGCAGCTCAGAGCTGCGCCCAGGCTGTGCTGGAACTGCCTCAATGTGGGGTGGGAGAAGGGAACAGCTGTGCCCCTTCTCCCAATTCCATCTCTGTCCTCCTGCAGGTGCAGGGTGGGAGAGGCCAGCTGAGCCTCTCTGACCAAAAAAATGCGATCAATGAAAAGCCAGGAGGGGAACAACCATACAGCTGAGCTGTGCCAGCTCTGGCCATGGGCTGCAAGGCCCCTCACTTGAGTCAAATCCTGTTTCCAGCTCCCCTGACCAAAAAGACCTTGCTGCTCCTCCAATTCAGGCAACTAAATTGGACATTTGAAGTTAGATGGTACAAGTAACACCAAAAAATGAACTGGATGGAATTTCAGCATTTATTGTATTAAGAAAATAATATACTTTACATCACAGTGCTTAATTAAATGCAATAAAAAATGTAAACTCAGAATTCTAGATAAAATTTAGCTTGAAAAATTAGGGCTCAAAGAGTTTCGAAAATTCACAATTTTTTTAAAATTGAAGTCACAGACAGTCAGTTCACATAACTTACATGTTAAAATTTACTCGTAAATAACACTTTGACGCACTCCAACATTGGGTCGGGTTTTGTTTGTTTTGTTTTCTTTAAAAGCCTAAATAACAAATGACCAAGTGCAAAGGTAAGAGGTATCTTTTTCTCTGCAAGGAAACTAACTGTAGCAATAATTTGCCCATCAGGCCCCTGGAGTGCTCTAGTAGATGTAAGGGAAGATGCGGTACGGGACGCGCTGGCAATACCTCTCCCAGGCCAAGCCATACTTTTGCTTACAGTGGTGTTCATCACGAGCCTCTCGATGAACAAGCAAGCAGATGAAATAGATCACGTAGAAATAGGGTAAAATGTGATTAAAACCTGCAAAGGGAGAAAGTTAACTTAGATACAGGACAAAAATCTAGAGATGGTAGCTATTAACATGTTTAAAGCTGATGACACTTGTTCAAGGCTGAAGCATTTTATACTCCTAAAGCATCAAATATTCAACAGAACAGTGAAAAGATTGTGAGGTTATGTTCACATGCAGATAGAAAAAGACTCATGAATGCACAGAAAGTAATTCCTAAAATTCAGAGTCACAAAATCTACCAATTTCACCCCCAACGCATGCGAAGCTGGCACACATTTTAAGTTCTTCAGTTGCCAAAACCAGGTTTCCAGTCAAATCTCTGCACCTTCAAACTCCCCCACACAACAGCTTCTCTACTTTGGCTGCGGACATGAGCCCATGGAAACTGGAACTGACCCAGAAACGTGAGACTGCAGCCCAAAAAGCCAGCTGTATTCTGGGCTGCATCAGGAGGAATGTGGCACCAGGTTCTGATTCACTCTGCTCTCCTGAGACCCCACCTGAGAGTTGTGTCCAGCTCCGGGGTCCCCAGTACAAGGAACACTGTATTACTAACAAACACTTTGAAAGATAATTTCACTGTGTTTGACGACCTTTCTTTAAATGCATTTCACTTCAAGTCATCCCTGTATATGGTAGCCTTTGTCTCCAAGCAAATTCCCACTTTTGAGGAATTTCAGCTGAAAACACACTCACTAGCCTAGGAAACTTGCAGAACAGCTGACTAGCAAGTAAGTCCCATGGTTATTGAATGATAAAGTGTCAGAAAGATGAGTAAATCTTTAGTATATGCCAAATCTGCACCAAGTTAGAAAGGGTAAAATGGAAGAGAAAATGCATCGCATTAGACTTATGACACAGAAATCTGCAGTTCAGTAGGGTTTGCTATCTCAAATAATTACCACTTGGCATTTCAAACCCAGTCAGATACAAAACATAAAAGCATTTTTGCTCAAATCCACTTTAGCCACAGAAACTCACCACAGGGTAGGGACCATGCCAGAGCCATGATGATGTCACCGAGGTAATTAGGGTGACGAACAAAACCCCACCAACCCGTGACAAGAAGCCCTTTTCCAGTTGCAGTGGGTATAAATTTCAGATCTGTGAACAGAACATTGTGGTGAATGCAGCGATTGAAATATGTATTTAAATATTACAAAGAGCCATCAAATAAAATCACAGCCAATGGAATAAAAAATTTACTCACTGGCCAATTTGGGATCTGCTGGATTCCGTCGGAAATTGTTTTTCTGAGAATTTGCACTACGGAATATGTAATACCCAATACCTGAAAATAAACATGATGTATTTTGTATTTTCAGTATTTTCCAGTTCTCTCAGATTCAACAAAAGCACTCACATGCCCTCTGCCACACTTATTCCATCAAAGTTTTCTCCCCAGTGATTCAAATGATATTTTCTGGTTCTCAGAGTTCTAACAAGATAGAAATACCATTGGAAACCTGCATTCCATGTGCTCCTTTTTGTTACTGTCCTGGTTTAGGTCACCCCAGGACAGTTACTAACTTTGAAGAGATTCTGAAGAACCTGAGCTTTTTAATGTAATGCCGACATACGGTGATGTGCTGAACTTTGTATGGTTACAGCTCTATTTAGCAGCCTAGCACTTTGTTATAGCACCTTCTCCATAAACTGACTACCCATTTACAAGATCATGATAATAAAAGAACCAGGCAATGAATGATCTGGGTCTGAAATTCATATCCCCCATAATTTTCACACAACAGCTTAAAGTTACTTTTGCTAAAGCTGCATTGAAAAAAGATGATCACAACATACTTCAAATAAAGGTGCCATTAAAAAAAATAAATAGAAACCCAAGAAAAAACATTAGGTGAAGATGAAAATAAATTTTCTGGTTCTCAGTATTGCACATATTAAGTTGTACGTCTTCTCATTTTTTCCAATTCTTTGACATGTCTACAAAATATGAGTGGGTTTTTTTGTGTTTCCTGTGCAGATAATAGAGACAACAAGGCTATGTTGCTGCAAATTTAATGTTGTCTAAAGATGTGAGATCTTTTCTCAAAGTATTCAGCTTTGATAAAAATAGATGTTTTCTACTGACATGTGTTTGTAACTGTGGTCATCAGGGAAGGAGATGCAAATAGTTACTTTTTCCCTAGGTTCAGTAGAGAGTTGCCAACTAGGTACTATTTTTTTTAAAAGTGAACTCAGAAGTCACTTCTTCAACTGCAGACAGCACCCACCTAGAGCTGCCTCTCACCAGAACAATTAGGTGTTTAGTCTCACCTATCCTTCATTTGCTAAAATGAGAATTTATTATATTTTTTGTATTTCACAGGAGCCAGACAATGACTGCTGCATCTGAGCTAAAACTTCACCTCTCACAACTATGTTGTAACCAACAGCAACAATGGCATTTACTGTAACTTACAGTTCAGAACAGTAATTGCAGCAGCAACAGGCCAAGTAATTGTGATGGGATGACCCACTAAGTAGAAGGCCTGCAGGCTGTAGACAAATGGAACCCACACCAAATCTCCAAATGCCAGCATGAATCCAAATCCATCATGGGTAATATCCATTGTAGTCAAAATGGCTTCCTAGAAACAAGGAGAAAAGAATATTAGCATTTCCAAAGCTTCTCTCTCTTAACATTGTAATTAGAAATGGAAACAGTTGAAGGGGATTGACATTTACCTCATTCCAAAGAGCATCCACCACATAGAGAAGCTGGAAGCTGTTGACAAGAATCATGGACAGGGATGGCACACTGAGATTGTGGATCTTCATCTCAGCCAAGAGCATTGCCAAGTTTATAACAACCTAAGTTAGAAAATATTTTAATTTTAAAATTACTTGCAAAAGAAGGTGGTCTTTACTATTACACTACAGGCATTTTTGACCAATGTTTAGGCTTAAAAACACTATAAACTATATCACAAATCAGTTTGCAACTAACCACATTTCTGAAGCTGTATAATCTCGACATATTAATACTTTAAAAAGAGTTTCCATTTGCCACAAAACAAAGGTAGAAACTTCCTTCAAGTGAATAAAAATAGTCATTAGAAAACTAGCAAGGTGTAGCTGTTTTTCAGTACTCATTATAAATATATACAGTGTTTATAAATACATACATATGTATTTCCTTAATATCAATTGTATGTGTGTGTGTGTAAAAAAACCCCTCTGTGTCATATTTTAGCAAATAAAATAACTCAGATTACTGACTCACCCAGCCAATTAATCCTGGACGCAACTCACAGAAGTATTTGAGGTCAAAACTGCCAATACGAGGGTTTAATTCATGTCCAGTAAAAAAATCATAAATAAAATATCCTGCAGGTAAGACACAACCTCTGTTAGCAATACTCTTCCTTATTTTATCTGCCACTACACTCCTCCCCATAAGTAAAATCCCCCTTTCCACTAATGTTCTCTCATTACAAGTTTTTAGAAGTCTTCAGATTGGGAAAAAAAAATAAAATTTCAAGTGTATGTGCAAAATACAAAACAAAATCTACACAGTTTGTATTTTAAGATGCCCTATTTACTAGGAAGACTAAGCACTTTAAAAGTTCTCCCTGACACTTGTTCCTTCTTTCTTTTCAGCCTTATCCTGAAGCTCACACCACAGCATCTATGAACATGATCATATGGCTTTAATTAGTTATAAATTTTCTTCTATTTAATTGCTTTTGTCTGGGAAAAATAATTCCTTTTAGCTGTGACAGTTACCCATCCATCAAAAAAGGCGAACAAGAAGCAAAATACCATGCCCTGACTTCATGATATGTGGGACTGGAATTACAATAAAAATAAATATAAATAAATAAAAAGCACATCACAGAAAAAAGTAAAAGTCACGGTCTTATTATAACCAGCCCTACATCTAGCCTTCAATTTGTAAAAATGAAACTACAACAAACAATTGGAAAGAAATTATCCAGAATGTTCTAACTCACCAGAATTTCCACCTGGTGCTAGTTCTTCCTCAGGTGCTTTCAGGGATCGAACATACAGATAAATGCTCAGTGCCAAAGAAAATGCTGCAGCTGACACTGCAAACTGCATGAAGTGGTCATACAAATAATGAAGCTCAAATTGAAAGTATAACAAAACTCCAATAGCTGCAGCAGTCAAAATAAAAGCATAAAATCCTAAAGGATGTAGAATAAAGGCATATTAGTCAAAATTTAAAAAAAAATAAAAATAAATTGTTCTAATAGGACCTACGCAATCCAACCTTTCTGCATTTTTACTTCTTACAATATTTGTCTATATCCCAGTAACATCTTGGAAATCCCACAGTTCAGACCTCTAGGGCACAGCAATGTAACTAAGAGACTCTAAGCCCTGAAACTGCTCATCAAAACGACAAGAGGCAAGAGCACTCTGAATACCTGTCAATTTTTTATGCCATAGGATCCAATTTCAGATTTTAGTGGAAACATGGACACTGACACTACAAATGGATAATGATAGCAGGTCACAAAACCTTATCTGTGGGACAGCTGAGACAACCATATTCTCATCTCTGAATCATCTTCATATACACCTTGACACAGATAGCAGTAATTAAAGTACTAAGATGATTTACCAAGTGGTAACACAAAACCTTTTGCATATGTTGAGTGTATAAAATCATGCAGAATGTATTGATGCCCAAACAGGAGCAGGTAGTTCTCTGCTGCTCTCAGCTAAGAATTTTCTATGGATCCCTTCACAGGGTCACAGGGGTTGAGGTTAGAAGGAACCTCCAGAGCTCATCTGCTCTAGTTCAGATGGAACCTTTTTGTACTTCACTTTGTATCCCAGTGCCTCCTGTCCTGTCACTGGCCATCTACTTTTCCTCAAAAAAAAAAGCTTCTAAATTTGCTCATAAAATTAGCCTTTGAAGCACCAAGACAATGTAGTTTGTTTTTTTAATAATCCAAATTACATAGCTTATTTCCTCCCTTTACCAGAATGCAGAAAGAATAGCAACACTATGGCACAATTGAAGACAAAAAAAAAAAAAAAGAGAAAGACAAAACAAGAAAGAGAGAAGTCCAAAACCAAGACGGGTATGAGACAGCCTCAATGAGACTCACTTGCAGGATGTAATTCTCCTTGTTTCTATTACTTACCGCCCTACTCCAACTTTAAAATGGTGCATCTTACCAAACTATGACAAAACTCAGCTTTTTCATGTGGTATTTGGATTCCACTACCACCCCTGTACAGTGTAAACATCTTGCTCTTGGGGCACTTAGTTCCTGATGATTACCAAGAAAAGGCTCATCCTATTTTATCCAAGATTTACAACAGATACATTCTCTGGTCAAACCGTATCTTTCAACTTTTGTATTTCATGGTGCTGAGCACTGCAAATCACACAGTGGAATCACTTTTAGAATAATCAATTGCAACATGCTTACCATTTATCCGGTACTGCAGTTTCCTTCCACTGGAAAGGGGCAGGCCTTCTACAACCTAGGAAGAATAAAATCTTGATGTTCAACAAAGTATCTTCTGTGGGCCCTTCAGGGGAGGAAAACCAAGCTCAACTCTGCCAGAAAGACATTCAGTCAAAGCAACCATCTGGAAACATTCAAACCTGAATCTCATGCATTGTTCTAAAAAACACTCGGGAAATAAAAGAATAAAAACATTTTAAAAAATAAACCTCTTCCTAACCAGCTTGAAGAAAACAGAACTGCTTCAATCATTGTGAACATATACAGCAGTAAAACATGATTGATCTACTTCAGAGTGTCCTTTCAGAATCTGCCAGTAACCCTCAAGTCACAAGAGAGGGAAGGAGAGCCTCTGCCTCATATGCATATGGCTAGAATGGTTTATAGCTTCCTGTAAATAAAGATTACATTCCAAAATGCTGGATATATCCATAAGAAACTGAATATTGAAATAGTTCATGAATTTAAAAGTCAGATACCTAAAATTTTTCTAGAATTCTATCAAGCAAAGTTTATCCACACTTTGATCTGAATGCCTATAAAATGCCTTCTGCCTTCTCTACTGAAAGGCTCTGAAACACAAAAATTCTTAAGCAGCTGCACTGTTTTACTTACAGAAGTCTGCAACAGCCATATTCCAGTTTATTATGAAAAACTGATTAAATTGCTTTCAAACTCACTGCATTTAGAACATGCCCCACCTTCCAGCCTAACACACAGTTCAGTTGCACATAAAGACCCCATTTCTCCCAACGGCCTACCTTTCCAATTGGCAGCAAGTAAAACACAGCTTGAAGGAAAAACCACAGAAGAAAGACACCAAACACTCTCCCGTCCCAAAGACTCTCAAGTGCTGGCAGAGGAGGGAAGTTCAGAAGGCTCGGATCATCTTGTTTGCACATCAACAGCAAGTAGAATACAGTAGCAGGCAGGAGAAATATCAGCATGAAGGTCCCTGTAAACAGACATCATGGAATGTTAGAAGGTAAGCACAGAAAATTTAAAAAATTGTTTAAATCCCACTAAAAAAGCTCAATATTAACTTCAGTAACAAAGACAAGGTTGTCATTATCTTCTCCTGAACAAGACAGCAACAATGCCAAAGTCATGTCACAGGACACTGAGACATTGCTCTCACTCCCATACAAGGTCATCTACCGCAGGATCACACTCATTGCATCCCTCAAAAATAATCAAAAAACTGTCGAAAAAATACTTTACTGTCAAGTTTCAAGCAGCTAGGTTTTGAAAGTGTAAAAGCTTTGCTGGTTATTCTTAATTTTAATCTAGAAATATATACATCTTAATGTGCAAAGAAAGGCACAAGATCTTCACTGTACTTCATGCAAGAACTAAGTGCAACAAATGTTCTTTGACTGCCACCAAATCAAGTGAAACACAACAATTTTACTCTGAATTCTGCAGCCAAGGTCCAAAAAGCAGTTGTTGACACAACAGTATGGTCAATAAGTAAAAACCATAAAATAGTACTAATTTTCAACTATTAAGACAATTTGCACACGTACCAATTCTTCCCCCAAATTCCAGCTCCTTTGTTTTTGTTGGTACTTTCTCAATTGGTTTTACAGCCACCAAAGTCTTTTTCTCTGAATAGATCTCTTCTTTTTTGTCATCTTTCCTCGAACGCAAGCTGTACTGCTCAAGCACACGCTTGATTTCCAGGTCTGGTTTTAACTTTTGCTGTGAATGAATAAAATTAATTTACTAAAGAGTTGCTCAGTGATTTTACTTTATTCTAGTTCAATACTGTATATTTCAGAGGACATTACTCACTATAAAGCACCAATACACAATTATCCATTCATATAAAGAAACTTCTATAACCAGGCACCGTAACCTGTTGGGCCATAATTACAGATCATCAGCAGTTCCAGTACAGACTATCCACTGCCACCCTCCTCCTTTCCCTTCTGCCATATGCCTGGGCATCAATCAGGACTAAGGCAAAAAAAAAAAAATCACTTTCTCTGTAGCAAATTTACTTAAACCTCTAAGTTTTCTTTTTGCTTGATTATTGTATTGCCCTTTTCTAGGAATTTCTGAGAGAGCCAAGCTAGGAACATGACAAAAAGCTAAGAGCAAATTCCGTGTTCCTACCTCCAAGATGATGCAGGATGTGTCATTTTTTTCTGTACTTTCAGGTTCACCATTGTACCTCTTGGTGTTATTCTCACTCGGTTTCTGGTTAAAGGAAGAAACACAGTTTAAGCTTTCAGGGTCCTGTACACTGCACTGTTCTGCGAAACTGAAATTTTGGTTTTCCATACAGTATCTCTGAAGAAATAAATTCTCTCATAAAAATTCTTCTCACAAGTCTAGCTTACACAGCTCTGGGAAGACATGACTTACATGTTTTATTTCAACCAAAGTTTTGTTGAAGAGAACCCGGTCTTTCTAGTCATACAAGAGCCAACAGATCAATCCTACTCCTCATATAGAATCCAGTACAAGACCATCAAAGATTTTTGAACCCTTTTATCCCAAAAGGTTAAAAGTACAAAAAGTAAACAGCAGCTGCTGGCTAAAAAACTACTTACAACTAGCTTGTGATCCACAGGCACTGGATCACACAGTTCTAAAGGAGTTTACTGCAAAACAAATCCCAAGAGGCAGAAGAAATGCTGTTTGTCTCCTGATAGAGAAACATCACCTCTACTCCTCTTCACATAAAGATCACCAGAACCATTTTTAGCACTCAATCTTCACAAAAATGCTATGAACAAACCTAATGAACTTCAGCTAAATTACCAGATTTTGGTAAATTCAGAAATCCTTACAGTTTTGCATTATTATCCATCAGCAAAACTGTATTTATATTTTCCACACTGCATGTTTTTCACTACTATTGCAATAAACTGTATATGATAATAGAACTCTTTTTATTTCAAATCCAAATACATACCTGCTACATACCAATTAACACACCAAAAAGTAAGCTTTTTATTTCAAATCCAAATACATACCTGCTACATACCAATTAACACACCAAAAAGTAAGCTAATTACCTTTTTCCCCATTTCACATGTGGAAGCAGATGGCTAATGACTTCAATATTAAATATAAAAAAATTTGTGTTTGTTTGGATTCTGAGAAGTTTGCAGTATCACCAAATTCAAGTGGAACTTTATAATCCTGGTTTACCTCTCAAGAATTTCCTCAAACTTTGCAAGCTAGAAACCCTATTTCTAAAGAAAAAAAGGCAGTTATGAGATATATTTTTGCAGGTAATTATGCTGTCCAGGGAGCATGAACTGCAGCTGGCTTTTACAATGATAAACCCAGCCTCCATTAAACCAATCTTACACAAATAGCCGAAGATTCTTTTAATAAAAAAAAAAAAAATCAAGCAAAACCACACAAAAAAACCAAAAAACAAAACTAATACCGGTAGAGCTAAGCTGGTCTCCTGAATGGTTTTCTTTTTGTCATCTTTGTGTTCTCTGCTTTGGGAAGCAGAACGACGTCTGCCCCTTGCTGGCCGACCAGGAGACCGAGACCGAGAGCGAGATCTGCTGCTACTTCTTCTGGAGGGAGAACTTGAAGAAGACTGGCTCTTCCTGTGCTTGAATGCTGACTGTGACTAAAAGAAAGATGGAAAGAAAGCAAAATCTTATCCACGTCCTAAAGAACAATTTTAGAAACATGGGGTGTTTTTGTGCTGAGGACTCTGGCATACAGTTCTATAGATCTGTCTCGTATTTCCTCTACTGATGCTCTACAAAGGCTGTTGAGAAAGAGCAACTGCAGAATACTCATTTTGCTGGCAATTCCCAAACAAGCCTGTTCCAAGTCCAACTGCTGCTGGCAATTTCTGTTGAGCTACAGAAAAGAGGATATGGATGTAAACTACCAAAGTGAGCACCAAGCTGTTAAGCACACCACCCTCTCAATCCTGTGCATAGGGAAAGGAATTGAGAGCTGTCTCTTAAGTCCTCAGAGGCTGCTCTCACTTCCACTACTCAGCTTTATTAATACTTTTGAGATAGCAAGGTTCATCATCTGTGTGAGTCAATACAGAGCAAATCAACACTAAAAAAAAACAAGTCATCCTAAGCATTTCACTGTATCTTGTAACTATCTTCATGAACAGCTTACTCCAAAAGCACTGTTTGATTTCTCTGTGAAGTCTACGATGCTGATTTCCCCATGTAGAATTCCCACAATCAAATTTTTATAATGCATAAATGTTTCATGACAAAGAAAGGCATTTTCCCAGCTTGAGTCTGCTAACCTGCATGCAGAAGTAACAAGTCAGAAGGTCTTAAAACAGTGAATACCTCAAGGCAGAAACATTTTGGTCCCAAAAGAGAAGGCCAGTTACTGGGCATGGACACTGCCACCAAGAAGTGACACTGTAGTTCACATAAAGACACACAAGTTGGCTTTGAAACTATGCAGGTTTCAGAACAGGTCATGGAAATGGACTACAGTGAATATTCAGACAGGGTTTTTTCCTCCTGCATTACTCATTTTCAACTGAAACTTCTACCAAGTTTCAAAGGCCTCAATGATATTAAATAATAACAATATGTAAAGAGGAAGGAATGTGTTTATATTACATGAACCCTTCTCAAGGGCTTGTAATTGTAATTAATACAGCAAAATACCTCATGAAGCTTTTGAGGACCTAAACCAATAAAAGCTATTTGCAGATGTTTTAATTATGTGCTTGAAGGGCATGCACTGTTTATATTTACAGCGACCTTTAACTGCATCTTCTCATTTGTGACCAAATTTTCTTATTTAGAGATGGAAAACCTTCGAATTAGTATCAACCCACTGATTACTACCTAAGGCACCCAAACCAATTTTTCATGAAAAATCATGCTATAGAGCTCCTGAAGGATCAGATTTGGTTTCCTCAAAAATATTACACTTTTTTTACAGAAACAGAACAACCATGATACTTTAAAGATGGAGTCATTCTGAACTTCTACTTGAGGCGTCGCGTAAGAAACTAATTTAGTGCAGATTCCTTGAAGACACAGATAACAAGAATTTGCAAAATAACAACCCAGTCCTAAGTCGAAGTACTGATAATTAAAAACATGTGTACTCACCCTTATATCACTTTCTTTCAGTGCAAGTTCAGTTCCATCTTTGTACTTGACAGTATAAAGATGAGCAACATCATCATAACTGGTCACTTGTACTTCATAGTACAGGACACTTCCCGGCCAACGGCCCATCACCACCTCGCCATCAGCAAACTTCCGGCTTGGCATTTTCCAAACAGAATCCCTAAAAAATAAATCTGTCAGTCCACATGAAAGCTAAACATTAGGCTTCATTTTCCCCTACTCTTTCTGTATCATGTAACTGAAAAGGGGACCCTTACAACAAGTCTCCACTTCAAATAGGGAAAAGGCTGTGTGATAAGAAAACAGCAGTGATCTCTTTTCCAAATCAACAGGAGACAGAAGAAATAAGTCTTAAAACAGAGAGAAGATTGAAGCTGCATGTTCTCAAAAAGCATCGAGATGTATTAGACTAGTACTGAGCTATGATATACAATCTCCAGCATCAGGCAAAGCACATCTTTGACCAAAATTACATAATGAAGCTCATCTTATCTAGAGGGAAATGCAAATTACATGGTATTGAAGTGTCCTCTAACCCTGCCTTCTGTGGTTCTACAGAAATGACAGAAGCAACGATTTCTGAGCATCAAACATCCCCAATCTCTTAAACACAGCCACATTACACACTTTCTTCAATTTATTGTGTCAAACACTCAAAAGTTAGGAAACTTTGGAATTTAAGCTCTTGTCTGGGTTGAATATTTTTCTTTTCCATCTCTTTAGCACAAGGGCATAATGCCTTTTCCAGGGCTCCATGGGAAAACAAAGCACAGCATCAGAGCAATGACAAAGTAACCTGAAAAACTAAATTCTATTCCCCTGTCTGCACCATCAGTTTCCACTTGATATTAACAAAATGTAGTTTAAGTGACTACTACCCTTGGTTCACCCCACCAGGTGCTGGGAAAAAACACAACTACAATTTAAATAAAGTTGGTTTTGAATGTAAAGTCCTGTATAACAACTGTTTGCAAAGTGCTTTGTGTTTTGTCATTGCCTTCTGAAAACAGATATCCAAAGTAGAAAATACTTTTAATCTGAATGTATCAAGTGAGACTACCTCAAAAGTCTAAGGTAAAATGTACACTAACATCTGTACCGGCACCATGTGTACAACCTACACGGGAACTCAGAGGGGACTGCAGGGACAGGGCCAAAATACAAACAACAAAATGTTAGCGTCAAAGCATATCATTTTAACTTGTTTGCTTTATAAATAAGATATGAAGCCACACAAGCTAAGGTAAATACAAGTCTTTAACTAGATAATCATTACATATTAACTAACCTGCAGTGAAAAGTTAAGATTCTCAGGGAAAAAATACTGTTAATATTCAATCACAGACCTTCATCACATGTTGGGGGATGGGGATCAGTGAGGTTCTACAAACAATATTCATTTGATTTCCTGCATTTTCTGATGTTGCTGCTGTTGTTAAATTTTACACCTGTGTAGCTCTCCAAGTCAAAAAAACCCCAAAAACTCATCAGAATTCCCTCATGTGATTTTTATTACTAATACTCCAAACCGCTTCAGAACAGAAACATCTGGCCATCTCCTTTGCTGTATAATATTTGAAGGGGGAAAAAAAAAAAAAGTTCTATAATTTGGTTTCACTGACACTTGCCAGTCAGAAAAATTACGAGTTCCAGTCTGTGCTTGTTAGACATGTGCTATTCCAGCTCTTCTGCCTTCTAACTAGTGTTTCTTGTCCCAGTTTCTTTTTTCTGTCTTATTCTTTCTGGATTCCCACTCCTCCAGCTTTCTTTTATGCCAGTCAGCTTACCCCTTCAAATTCATAGCCCTCTTTCTTGTAACTTCCATATTTTCATTTCAAACTCTCCATTCTCTCCTTATCTCCCCATCTTGTGTGGATTTTCTGCCTTCCCCTTTACCACCTCTGCTTAAATCTGATCTCAATCCCCATTTCTGTCTCCTTGCCCAGTCTTCTCTACCTAAAAGGCACTTTAGGAGATCCACATCTACTACTGCTCTTTCCTAGTCCCTTGCAGCCAGTTTCCTCCTGCTCTTCCATAAATAGTCTGAATACTGGAGCTCCCCCAAGTGCACTCAGAGCTGTCACCAGATGTCATACCCTGACCCATGACTTCATTTCCCCTCTGCCTGCTGCACTTCCTACACCCCAGCTAACTGGTTCTTCTCCTGACCTGCAGCACCTCAGGAATCAGCTGCAAACCTGGAACCTGACCAGGACAAGGCTGGCGGACCCTCAGACAAAGCTGTAAAAATCAGAACCTTTGGAGGATAAATCTTTTTCAAAAACAGTAACATTTTTTCTTAAAGTTGTTACTAAGGACACCTACACTGTTTTTTCCAATTTATAGTAAGTACTTCAAAATTTAGGTGCAATTTCATGAGATAATAAAATGCAATTCTTTGCCACATTTCAAAACCCAGCAGTTCTGTACACAATCACAAAGCCCAAATTAATTATTATGAAAGGCAGAAAGACCTTCTCTTCCTCCAACCTTGTTCTCAAAAGGAGCTGAAGTTAGTTTGAAAAATGTGGTTGAAAGACTGGTAGCTAAATCAGTATCACGAAGTTCAGCCTGAGGTAGATTTCACCAATATGAGATTCCAAAATAAACAAGTGGAAATATCTTCTGACTTAAAAGTAACATACAATTTTATTAATGGGAAAACTTAGGTATTTTTCAATTTTTTTCTTTAAATATTACAGCTTAATAATAAGCTCAAACATTAAAAGAAGTAAATGCAACTTCTTACCCTATCAAAAATTATCACCTTGTTCTGCACCCCAGTGCCTCCTGTGAGGGAGGTTTGCAATCCTCATTCCTTATATCCCACTTCAAAAAGCTGCACCTTTTAAAGGCAGCCTTCATCTGTTCAGATAACCAACACAATTACTGGCATCGAGAAAAGACAGGAAGTCTTAAAAAAAAAAAAATGGTTTAGAGATTACATTTTTAATTTACTGCTGTTTCAAGCTCTACACACCCCTGATCATTTTCATAGTATCAGCTGGCATCAGCCTAATATTCCCAGTAGTTCTGCACAAACTTCTGAATTCCCAGGGCTTCAAAACATGAATCCAAAGAAAATTATCTTATCTGATGAACCCTGCACTGTACAGACACCTGACTGCAAGTTTAGTCACTTATCAGGAAATTAAATTAATGTTTTCTGAACCATTACTATTTTCCTTTAGGAATCTATAGTCTAAGAGAAAGGATCAAAAGGACTTTGTATCCTATACTAAGCCAATTAATGCAAATCTCCCTGAAGCTTAAAAGTTGGTAAAGAATAAAAGTTTCTGCTGACTCAAACAAGAATGAAATAATTAAAAAGAAACTTGGCTGCGAAACATATTGCCCCATGCATGCATTTCTGGTCTTCTTAATGACTCTCTCACTAGATATGTGGGAAGATATTTCAGCGTGGAGAAAGTGATGATTGTTACCTTGTAGCCACAGGGAGAGCACACCCCATCAGCAGAAGTTTGGTACAGTTTTAAGGATAAATAAACACTAAACAAGTTTTCGCGCTTGGAAGAGCAAAGCTCACACACACTCAGTGATTCCATTTCCTAATTCTGACATCTCACCACTGTTAGATAACGTTCTTGATGTCAGAGGAGGGAGCCAGTTGAATGCAAGAAGAAATGCAGGAAAGTAAATGAAATGCTGACAGCCAAGGCTAACAGTACACAGAAAGTTACTACTGAATACACCAAAGAGAGCTTTGCAGGACGTTTTCAGCAACACCGTTACTCTCTCCACATTTCTAGCTCTTCACCTTCAGAACGGTGGAGGCACCTATCCCTATCCAAGCCAACTTAAATTCACCACTTTAAATAAGCGCAAATAAGCCTCGAGGCAAAAATAACAATCCATCAACCCTCGGGCTGGGACTCGAGGATCTTCCCTTCAGCTTTCCAGCAGAAACCCCGTGAGCGGAGGGGACACGGCAGGACCCTGAACTCCCGAGGCAGGGCCCGAGAGCGGCGGGGCGCTGTTGACAGGAAGGGCCCCACGTGCCGGCGGAGGCCCGGCCCCTCGGCCTCGCCCCGCCCGCGGCCCGGGCCTGGCGCGGGGCCTCCGCCGCGGG